GGAGTAGAAGCAATGTGTTTGTACTCTGAAAGAACTTTAGAAATTAGAAGGCCACTATTGGCTTAAAACCTGCCCAGTGCTTTTTACTCATCAAAATCTTAGAACTGATGTGATCGGGGTTGAAAAGATGCAATTGTTTCTGCTATTCATCTAACTATTTTGAGAGCACTTAAAGGGTTCTTTCAGTCAAGAAACACAAGGACAACTGAAAAGCTATCTGCCTTCATGGCCTTTGAATTATAAAAAAAAAAAAGAAACTGTAAATTTAGGCCACTAAAAGAAGCCATGCGTGTCAAGAAATTTTTCCAGCATTTTAGTGTGTATGTTATGACCAATGACCTTTCTTTGGCTGCCAATCAGTTAAGAATTAGGCCACAGTCATGGTTTAATGGCCAACTGGCATTATTTGAGAACAGTTATGGAATTAGTCATAGCAGCAATGCAATGATTTCTGATCATGGGACATATTAAGAAGGGGCAAATGACCAATCGGCTTATAAGATCCTAGGAACTGTCTATTTCTTTTTCAGGATAAGTAAAACTGTCTTGGCTTTTGTTTTAAATTCTTAGTGCTAGTACAAACTCTTTATTCTTTCTTTGTTAATTATTGTTTTTCAGTGGCTCTTGTTCTTATGGTATTGATCATGGGTTGCCTACATTTCCCAGAAAAATAATAAAATGTTCACCAAGCCAAGTGAAAATTATCTTTATCATCCCAAGGAGAATAATGAAGTGGCTCAAATGTTGAAAGATTCATGTTTTTATAGGTCAAAATTAGACATTTATAGTCACCATATTGCTACTAGTGACCTATAAAAGTTTAATCCATGCCTAGGGCTGAGAAAACCAGATACCTTGGATGCTCATTGTAGTCTTGGTTATAAGTTTCCATCATCTTGCTGCCTCTGGGATGGAAGAGGAAATATTCTAAGCCACTTACACTGGGAGAATTGAATCAGTTCCTGAGTTGAGGGTGACTCCTTCGAACTGAGAGGTGGCATGTGTGAAACTTTGCCCATGAGCTAGTGCTGGACTTAAGCTGATTTGCTGGGAAATTTCACACTGCATCTGAATAGGGGGCCCCTTGGTTCCAGGCCCAGTGAGATCCCATTTTTCTAAATTGTAAATAGAACATTCCTCAAATATATTAAAGAATTAGAATATTCTTTGATTTCTCAAAGAGAGTTCATAGGATCATGTTATGCTATTGGAGTGGATAAGGAAAAGGCATCTAGTCCTTGCAAGAGTGTATTTAAAAAATATTTTCTTATCTTTTTTTTTTTTTTTTTTTGAGATGGAGTTTTGTTCTTGTTGCCCAGGCAAGGGTGTGATCTTGGCGTTACTGCAACCTCTGACTCCCAGGTTCAAATGATTCTCCTGCCTCAGCCTTCCAAGTAGCTGGGATTAGAGGCATGCGCCCCGATACCCAACCAATCTTACATTTTTTGTAGGGAAGGGGTTTCACCATGTTGATCAGTCTGGTCTTGAACTCCTGACCTCAAGTGATCCACCTGCCTCAGTTTCCCAAAGTACCTGGGATTAGAGGCATGCACCCCCACACCCAACCAATCTTATATTTTTTGTAGGGAAGGGGTTTCACCATGTTGATCAGTCTGGTCTTGAACTCCTGACCTCAAGTGATCCACCTGCCTCAGTTTCCCAAAGTGCTGGGATTACAGGTGTGAGCCACTGCACCCTGTCTGCAAGGTTTTAAATATCTAAAAAAAACTTGTTTTGTGGCTTCTGCTCTCTTCACTCTGTTAAATTAGTATATATAAAACCATTGCTTTACAAAGGAATTTTATGAAGTAAACACAAGGCCATGTACTGTCACAGGTAGAAGATTGAATTACATATTAGAGGACCTGGGTTCTAGGCCCAGTTCTTTTCTTTTGTAGTTGTTCAGCTTGATAAGGTCCCTTGACTGCTCTGACACCCATTTTTTGTTTGTATAATGGGGGTTCAATTAGTGGCTGTTATCTATGACCTTGCCCCTTGTTGTTTAAATAATGTAGCTTCTCTAACTTTGCTCTTGGGAAGTATAAAAAGGCTAACTGTTGAGACCAGTTCCTTTTTTTCAGGCAAAAGAATAAGAAAGACATTTTCAGTTCATTCTAAAATGTTTGGCTTAGAAAGCTGTATAATAAAACCCAGGGCAGGGAGAGGGTACCTGTACCTTAAATGTGATAAGAATACAGTCATTATTTCACAAGAAATTAGGTCACAGTCATACAAATGGAAGAAGAAAAATTGTTATGTGGACAAGACAGGTGGTCTTTGGAGAGAAATGAATCCATGTGCTGGCAAGGTGTGCTATTAGCTAGCTTAGAATAAAACCAGCCATGACTAATATAAAACCACCATGGTTTTCCCTGGATCAGAGCTCAACCGCACTCCTGGTGGAACTACTTTTTAATGAAGCCAGTAGAATGGAGACAAAAGCCACAGACGTTTAGCAAATATGTGAAGCTGTGCAATTTACAAGACGAAAAAATAAACCAGGAGACTGGAATATGTACAGCTATCCAAGCTGGGGAAATAGTAAAGCCAGTCAATTCCTTTAGAATTTCTTCTTTCTGGAGAGTAGTAGAGGCATATCTTATATGGCAGAAAGGAGGAGGCTAAGGGCTTGTATTATACTAATTGTGCCCAAAACTTCTAACTCCTTCAGTCCATGGGTCCCTGATGTATCCCTCTCAGTGGGGACCACATTGTGAAGTGTAAAATATAAATGATATATAATTGGGCCATATGGTAACAGCAGAAAGTAACCAAGAGTTTCATGCTCTTTTATGACCTTAAAAAATAAACCATTGAACCTCTTCTTAAAAATATTACAAGAAATTATTACATTGGAGGTCCTCACCTTATTTCTGATCCTCAGGGAAAAGTTGTGTAATGGTTTGATATTTCTGTTTTGCTTTTGACCCAGAACCACATTCAGGTAAATTAATCCTAGTTTCTATACTATATCCTTAAAAGGAAAAGAGCAGGTAATGGAGTCAGGGCCAAACTTGGGAAATGAGCACTGGGGATGGGGTGGAGGATCTACTGAGGTTTGAATTATGTTCCTTTTACTCTGCATGTCACTATGTCCCTTAAGTCAAAAGGGACAGCTTTGCTGTTATTATCATTCTGATCTACTGTCCTTGTTTCTGATTTCTGCTGGGAGACACAACTCGGTTGGGTACCTCATTCGTATTTCCTTTTCCAGCTTTCTGGTCTTCTTAACTCTTGGTTCTGGAGGTATTCTTAATTTCATCAATTCTTGTTGTATTCTTACAGCTCCCAATGATTGCCCCAGCCCGTCTCTCAGGAAAGAGGGGTTTGGATGTTGTCGGTGTTGTTGCATGGTCACATCTCCCCTGTCTTAAGTGGGATGGTACATGAAGATGTTGCTTTGGAACTAGATGGGTGAGTGTCCTCACAGACATGACAGCAGTGGCATGTAGTACTACTGTTTCAGCAATCAAAAGACCTCTTCAGCAAAGGCTGCTTCAGAATGACACAACTGATCAGCCGGCTAGAATGACCACCACCACAAAACAGGAAAATAACCCTAACTTCAAAACTCACTGATATCCCTGCATATTAGAGTTCATGAAGAGTAAATTAGGTTAGCACATAGTAGGACATTCAAAAATATGAGTTTCCTTCCTTTTCTCTAAAAGGGAAATGCTTTACAAATGCTTTTGAACTTTGAAATTGTGGGTGTCACAAATAGAAGTCAAGTCCACTCAGCTAGACTTTCAGTGGCATTTACCTGGCTCAGGGTAAAAAAGGTTTCCTCTGTTGTTGTCAGAGGAGGAATCCTGATGGTGGATGCTGTGAAATCCTAATGTAATTATTTTAACAGTGTTCTTCACATATGGCTTGTGATACTCTTATTAAATATCTGTCGAGTATACAGTTACTGTCAGCACTGTTAATATGAATTAATTAAATAATAACCTTTAATCCAATTTTATAGCTGAGTGGCACTGTTAGACACTTACTTGTTTCTTCAAGGGTGGTAATTTCTATAAGCCCTTAGAGAAGTGTTAGTGGATGGAGCACAGGTCCAGGATTCCTGGCTCTGCCACATGTTTGAAGGCCTAGTCAGAAGACTCTGTGGATGCTGATGTTTCCATCTAACAGCACTACATGCTCTACATAACTTGGAGTTTAGTGAGGATCAAGAGAGGTTGTAGAAATTAGAGTGCTGAGAAGGCAAAAAGCCTAATGGGGAAGAAAATCTGACAACTTTGTAATGACCTTTCTTTCAATATAGCTCCCATGCTTTGAATCAGTTTGGTCTTTCAAACTAACCTCTTTATTTAAAGTACAGATATACCTAAGAAATATGACAAGTTTGATTTCAAACCACTGCAATAAAGCAAATATTGCAATAAAGCAAGTCATACAAATTTCTTTCTTTCCCAGTGCACATAAAAGTTATGTTTATACTATACAATAGTCTATTACGTGTGCAATGCCATTTTGTCTAAAAAGCAACATACATACATTAATTAAAAAGTACTTTATTGCTTAAAAAAAGGCCAATGATCCCCTGAGCCTTTAGTGAGTCATGATATCTTCCTGGTAGAGGGTCTTGCTTCAATGTCACTGGCTGCTGACTGATCAGGGCAGTGGCTGCTGAAGGTTGGGGTGGCTGTGGCAACTTTTCTTTTCATTTCTTTCCTCTCTCTCTCAACAGACTCTCGCTCTGTAGCCCAGGCTAGATTGCAATAGTGTGATCTTGGCTCACTGCAACCTTCACCTCCCAGGTTCAAGTGATTCTCCTGCCTCAGCCTCCCCAGTAGCTGGGAGGCACACACCACCATGCCCAGCTAAGTTTTGTATTTTTAGTAGAGACAGGGTTTCACCATGTTGGCCAGGCTGGTCTTGAACTCCTGACCTCAAGTGATCCGCCCAACTCAGCCTCCCAAAGTACTGGGATTATAGGTGTGAGCTACCACGCCCAGCTGTGCTGTGGCAATTTCTTAAAATAAGAGAACACAGTGCTTGCTTTGGTAGCACATATACTAAAATTGGAACAATACAGAGAAGATTAGCATGGTCCCTGCACAGGGATGTCATGCAAATTCATGAAGCATTCCACAGTTTTTTTAAAAAAGACAACAATAAAGTTTGCTGTATTGATTGACTCTAATACATTCCTTTTGTGAAATCACAAAAGGAATGTAGCATATGATAGTTTCATAGCATTTTACCCACAGTAGAACTTCTTTCAGAATTGGAGTTAATCCTCTCAAAGCCTGCTGCTGTTTTATCGACTAAGTCTGGGGATTGATCTAAATCCTTTGTTGTCATTTCAGCAATGTTCACAACATCTTCACCAGGAGTAGATCCATCCCAAGAAACCATAAGAGACATATGTTCATCTATAAGAGATAACACCTCATCAATTAATGTTTTATCATAACATTGCAGCAATTCAGTCACATCTTTAGGCTCCACTTCTCTTGCTCATTGTACCACATCTGCAGTTACTTTATTGAAGCCTTGAACCCCTCAAAGTCATCCATGAGAGTTGGAATTAACTTCTTCCAAACTCCTGTTAATGTTGATATTTGACCCCCTCCCATGAATCACAAATGTCCTTAATAACATCTACAATGGTGAATCCTTTCCAGGAGGTTTACAATTTATTTTGCCCAGATCCACCAGAGGCATCACTATCTTGGGCAGTTAGAGCCTTATGAAATGTATTTCTTAATTAATAAAACTTGAATGTCAAAATTATTCCTTGATCGCTGATCTGCAGAATAGTAGCTGTGTCAGCAGGCATGAAAACAACATTAATCTCCTTGTACATCCCCATGACAGCTCTTAAGTTCCTACTTACATTTTCAATAATTGGTAATATTTTGAAAAGCATCTTTTTTCCCTCTGCAGTAGGTCTGAACAATCTGAACCTTAAAATAATCAATAAACCATGCTCTAAACAGATGTGTTGTCATGCAGGCTTTTTTGTTCCATTTGTAGAGCACGGGCTGAGTAGATTTAGCGTATTTCGTAAGAGCCCTAAATGCAGCTGATGACTTTAAGTTGAAGCCAATGATCTTTTGGAATTGTAAAAGATCGTTGGCTTCAGTGTAAAGTCACCGGCTGCATTTGACTCAAATATAACAAACAGACCGCCTGTCCTTTAAAGCTTTGAAGCCAGACATTGAATTATCCTCTCTAACTATGAAAGCCTTATATGGCACCTTCTTCTAATTTAAAGCTGTTTCATGTACATTGAAAATTTGTTGTAGCCATGCTCATCAATGATCTTAGCTAAATCTTCTGAATAACTTGTTGCAGCTTCTCCTTAAGTACTTGCAGCTTCACCCCTTACTTTTATGTTATGAAGATGGCTTTTTTCCTTCAAACCCATGAACCAGCCTCTGCTAGCTTCAGACTTTTCTTCTGCAGCTTCCTCTCTCAGCCTTCATAGAATTCAAGAGAGTTAGGGCTTTGCTCTGAAACAGGCTTTGGCTTAAGAAAATGTTGTGACTGGTTTGATCTTCTATCTAGACCACTTAGACTTTCTCCATGTCAGCAGCAATACTGTGTTGCCTTCTTATCATTCATGTGTTCGCTGGAGCATGACTTTTAATTTCCTTCGAGAACTTTTCCTTTGCATTCCAGTTTGGCTAACTGGTACAAGAAACCTAGCTTTTGGCCCGTCTCAGCTTTTGATATGCCCTCCTCAAAAATAAAAAAATCATTTCTAGCTTTTGATGAAAAGTGAGAGAAATGTGACTCTTTTTCACATGAACACTTAGAGGTAATTGTAGTGTTATTAATTGACCTAATTTTAGTATTATTGTGTCTCTGGTAATAGGGAGGCCTTAGGAGAGGGAGAGAGATGAAAGAAAATCATCAGTCCCATGGAGAAGTCAGAACACACACATCAATTGATTAAGTTTGCCTTCTTATGTTGGCTCAGTTTGTGGTGCCCCAAAAACAATTGTAATAGTAACAGCCAGGATCACTAATCACAGATAGCCACAACAGGTATAATAATAAAAAATAAGTTTGAAATATTGTAAGAATTATCAAAATGTGACACAGACACATGCAGTGAGCACATGCTGTGGGAAAAGTGGCACCGATAGACTTGCTTGTGCAGAGTTGCCACAAATCCATTTGCAAAAAATGCAGTATCTGTGAAATACAGGAAAGAGAAACACAATAAAACAAGGTTTGTCTGTATTAATTAATTTCTTTATTCTTTTTGTTGTTATAAAAACCTATGTAGTTGCTGGCCAGTTATTCTGAGCACCCTGAGATGTAAATCGTATATTTTCTCTAAAGCAGGTTAACGAAACATTCAATCACAAATCACCTTTTTAAAAGTTAATTCATTGTGCTAAAATTGACTGTTTATAATTTTGTAATATTACAAATCATTTGCTAAACATTATTAGTAGGTTTGCAGACTTTTTTTGGCCTCTGGAGACTGATAAGCATTAAGCTATGGGTGGTAGTTTTCAGTGTCTCTCTCTCTTTCTGTCTTTCTTTCTTTATATATGTACATATATGCCCATATATTGCAAAGATCTTCCTTAAAAGAAATTTTAAAATGAAACTTGCATATGTGAAGTAGCTAAAATATTGCGGACACTTTTGAGCCGCACTCTCCCTCTGCCTCTTCCCATTACCGCGTAATGACTCCTGAGGAGCTGCCACAGAACTCGTGGGGTCTGAATTATGTAGTTAAGAGCCATTGGGCCAGCAGACAAAAGATGAAGAAAAGCATTTGGATAACTCCTTGATACAGTATCCTCTGCCCTCCTCTCACAGGTATTGGTAGGTAGTAAGCAACTGGGGTAGTAGTCAACGGGTTGAAAGATAATTTATCTTTGCTTATCTGCTTGTGAATCATTCATATATTGTTCATGAAACAAAGAGATTTTGACTCTGTCTTCCCCATCCCATTTGTCTAGACATGTAGAGGACTGTGTTCTGTGATCATACTTGGTAAGACTGAATTAGATTATTGTATAGAGAAAAGCAGAATACACTTTTTTGCAGAGTTCTGTGCTTTATTGTCCTGTAGAATAAAAAGGAAAGATGGGAGACTAATATGGGCTCCCCAGGATTTTATTTTGCCAAAGAAAGAATATTTCAAAGAGCAATCACTAAAGGATACTTCAAAAACTTTGATACTTTATAAAAGAAAGGACACAAAACAGCAAAATTTTGGAATATTAGAATCTCAGAGTTGTTCAAGAGTCAACATTGGTGGCTACTTGAACAGAAGGAAGCATACTTTCTTTTTGGAATAGGACTTGGGATTCAACCCCAGCTCTGCTGTCCTTACCTATATAACACTGGCTAAGATAATTAATCTTTCAAAGCCTCATCTGCAAGATGAAAACATGTATCTCACATTGTTGTTAGAATGCCACCAATGAATAAATGCCACATTTCCATAGAATTTGGTACACAGTAGGTGCTCAATAAATATCCATTCTCTCCCTCTTGCACCAGATTCTTCTTTTCTCTTCTTACTTATGTCAGAGGATTGTCTGGATGTTCAAGTAAGAAAATAGTGAGAAAATGATTGGTGAATCTTAAAGCACTATTTAAATTTGAGGTTCATGGGACGTTAAGAATATGCATTTTCGGCCGGGCGCGGTGGCTCACGCCTGTAATCCCAGCACTTTGGGAGGCTGAGGCGGGTGGATCACGAGGTCGAGAGATTGAGACCATCCTGGTCAACATGGTGAAACCCCGTCTCTACTAAAAAATACAAAAAATTAGCTGGGCATGGTGGCTCGTGCCTGTAATTCCAGCTACTCAGGAGGCTGAGGCAGGAGAATTGCCTGAACCCAGGAGGCGGAGGTTGCGGTGAGCCGAGATCGCGCCACTGCATTCCAGCCTGGGTAACAAGGGCGAAACTCCGTCTCAAAAAAAAAAAAAAAAAAAAAAAAAAGATATGTGGATAACTGGCACAATAAGACTTTGCCTTATTCCTTGAGGGCTCACATGGTCTTTTGGGTGAAAATACACATAAAATACAGATAGTATTTTAGTAAGTACTGTCCATATAGTGCACATATCTTTTGCATGTTTTTTAAACAAAGAACATTAACCAGTCAACTCACAGATTTTCCTTCATGACAAACTAAGGCGTAGTTATAAAGTCCATTGGAGCTATAAAGTGTTTGGAGTTATATTGCAGTAAGTGCTATTGCATCTCACCGAGCTGTTAAGGTGTTTTATAATGGGATGTAAATATTTATGGCCTGTTTGAGAATAACCAAAGAAAAGTGCTTTTTATTATTTTACTTCATATCCTGTTAGCCAGGTGTATCTTTTAGTCTTTCAACACTCTCATAGCTAGAAAAGTGATGTCAACTTTGGGGCAATATATGATTGAGAAAAGAATTAGTCTACTTTTGTCACTGTGTCAAATAGCCTGGTAGCTGCTTCACTGAAGGGGTGCCTTGTGAGCACATACTACATTTTCTGCGTATTCTTTTGGTACCAAGTAGAGCCTTAAGAATGCTTCTAAAGATATATAATGAATAATAATTGTCCACAGCTAACAAAACCATCTAACATTCTGCAGGGAAACCTGTGAGTTTCACATTCTTAACCTGGTTTGATACCTCCTGGAGAGTTTTAAGTTAAGAAAAAGTATTTCTGCTTTAAATTCCTTTCCTTCAAAGAAAACTTGAAAAACAATTGCATACAGTTCTTCAAGAATAAAATTCTGTTTTTAGGACTCAATCTTGGTTCTGACATTTTTGTTTGTGTAGTTTATGCAAATGAATTTAAGCTATTGCTCGTCAGTAAAGCAAATAGGAAAGTCTGGAAGACACACATTTTATTAAGGAAATAAGAACAGCTGATACTATTTTCATTATCACATACTGTGCCTTACAACATTTAGTTACAGAAAACAGGAAAGGTTAAAGATTCAAAAATAATGACTTAAAACCACTTTGTTCTCAGATCTGTCACTGTAGTTTTTGTCAGATAAGTTTAAATACTGGTAATTGGTTTATGCCAAAGGACAGAGGACAGTCATTTCAAAGCTGTCCTGTCCACAAACTATTAAATTGCTAGAAATAACAATCACAACAAAGTGACACATAATTTAGAAAG